TTCAAATGTTTGGTTAATGATTATGATTCTTTACTTCTGAACGAAGTCAGTGTACATAAACAGGAACACTGCCACCTTCTCCGGGCCTGTGCTCTTTTAAAATGGACTGAGGAAAAGTGGAAAAGTGTCCTGTGGTTCGACAAATGAAGATTTGAATTTCTTTTTGGAAATCATGGACACTGTGTCCTCTGGGCTAAAGACCACTCAGCTTGTTATCAGTGCACAGTTCGAAAGCCAGTATTCCTGATGGTGTAGGGGGCATTAGTGCACATGGCATGGGTGACGTGCTCATCTGTGAAGGCAACATTAATGCTGAATGATATATACATGATTTGGCGACATAAGCTGCCATCCAGACAACGTATTTTTCAGGGAAAGCCTTGGGTTTCATTCAAGATGCCATACAGGGAATGGAACAGCAGCCCTCCTGAAAGACCACTTGAAGGTTATTGAGTGGCACCACTGGCTAGCCAAAAATCATCGCCACCATGTATTAGGAAGGCTTTTTCATGATATCAAACAAATTAATCTGTTGTTATAGCCAGTAAAATTTAACCATTGTGAGCCTGTGATTCTGCTGTTTTTTGTTGCGCAGGTAAATAACACACACACACACACACACACACACACACACACACACACACACACACAGACTATCTATGCCACTTATCCTTCTGCCTTCAGTGTCGTGGAGGGAGCTGGAGCCTATCCCAGTGGTCATTGGGTGGAAGGCAGGAAACACCCTGGACAAGTCGCCAGTCCATCGCAGGGCAGGCAGACATATACATTCACACACACATACACACTCACACTTAGGGCCAATTTAACATGTCCAATCGGCCTGTCTTTGGACTGTGGGAGGAAACTGGAGAAAACGGGGAGAACATGCAAACTCCACACAGAAAGGACCTTGGTCGCCTGGTGACCAAGAAAGCTTTATTATTATTATCATTTTTAACAGTTGCAATCCTGAAATCAGGGGATGCTGCAGCCCCCTGAGCAATCCCACTTCCCATGTCCCTGCATGATCAGCACAGTAGCATTACAGTATAATCACAGTATTGCTCCAGGGCACTTTTGGAGCACTTTTGTTCATCCATGTTCCGCAGTGAGAGTTAACAGTGGAGCTAACAGTGTTTTAGTGAAGGCTTAGTGAAGGTATGAGGCTCATAAACTGCAAGACAGTGAACTAAAATTTTTATGCAATGTGTAGAAATATGAAATGTCTTTCAATTGTACCAGTTTTGTTATTGAGGCATCAATAATGAATGCAGTTTGGGTATCTTTTGAATATCATGTGATTGTTCCCTGAAAAGAAGGAATGTGCATTTCAGTGTGTTAATGATCATATGATGTTTACACTGTTTACAAGTTTTCAAGTCATTACATGTTTATTACTCATTCATTAGATGCATTTGTTAATGTTTCACAATAGTAACGTAATTGTAATGGAGTGTTACTGTACTGTTCACAAAAATGCCACTAGTAGTTCATGTATTTGTACTTTCCGTAAAGCATTACCCAATATAGCATGAGGATGCATAGCATTTTTAATACAAATGTTGTTGTTGTTGTTGGGAATGACAGAGAACTGGGAGACATATCTGCTGTTAGGGAAATCAGGAGGAATCTCTTTATTAGGGAATCTCTTTATTATAACATGCAGGAATGTAGCTCACACTGACCATTAATCATTCTCTACAGTACGATAAATCCAGTCTATATACTGTCTGTGACATAAATCAATGAAATGGGTTTCTTCAGCACCGAAATGGTGATGGCCATAGACCTGTATTCCATGAAGTCTGTTGTTTGCAATGAGACCACTACCTGAGTCACCCTGTAATTGGAAAAGGAAATTAGTCAAGCAATGAGGTTTATTTTCATCAGGATGCTGTTGATGTTGGAGACTTGCTTGTTGAGATGTAAGTATATAATCATGGGCTTTAAATTTGACCACTGATATTCAATGACTGAATGAAATAACCTGTCCATAGTGAGTGGAAGGGCATATAACTGTCTAGTTAGAGTCAGGATAAATGTTTGATGCAAGAGAAAGTGAACACGCACCTCATTCCCATCAATACCATTACGAAAGGCACAGAATGTAACACCGTTTTCATATGGATTTGCACAAGCAACAACATCCATTTCTCCACAGCGAAGTCTTCCTGCAAAATAGGGATCTGTGGAATGGCAATTAACAAAGTTGAATTCACATATGACATGAAATGAGCTGAGGCATTTTAATATTGCTAAAAAATTGTACCATTTAATGTGGTACCATTGCCTCTTTTTTATTTGCCTTTTTTCTGCTCATTTGTTTTCATCACTTGAAATTGTACTTAGCACCTTTTATCTGTGTAGAGATTGTGACACACCAGCAATGACTTGCATTTTCAGACCCCTCCCCAGAACCAGGAGCAAAACTTACCCATCAAATTGTTGTGCCGAATGTGTGCATTCTGCCAGCCATAAATCCTAACCACAGCACCGATGTTGGGTGTGACGCAGTTTTGGCGATTAGGCAAACGTGAATGTAGTCGAATCCTTCTGCGCAGTTTTAGCAACATGATGTCATGCTCATTGAGAATTCTCCAACTTTTAATTGTTCTTGTCACAGCAACATCAAGATCTCTACCCACAAGCACCACTAGATTGCTAATAAAATGGAATAAAAAGGGGGGTGAAATGGGTTACTTGACCTTACTAATGCTCTTGATACTTAAGATATGCTTTATTAGTCCCACAGTGGGGAAATTCACAGTGCTACAGCAGCAAAGGGACAGCAAGGCACTCAAGAAAAGTAGTAACAGGATATGGTATTTAATTACTTAACAAGATTCCTTCTTGCATGTATATTGTTTTGTGCTGGTCATAACAGTATGAGAACTCAATAAGCTTGTTTTTACTGTTCTTAATATATTGTAAGGGTGCATAATGTCTTGTATAGTTCTTACTGTTCATTGCAGTGTTCAGCAGTGAGGACCCAGCGTGGCTTGATCAGTGTACCACCGCAATGGATATCATTATCTGGGAACTGGAAGTTGTACAAATATTAATGTGGAGCTTTTAATCATGGATAGAATAAATCTGAATCAGTATGATAATGTATTATTTTGATATCATTTAAGCATGAATTGTACAATCGCTTGTAATTACATGTATTAGTTAATATCAGTTATGGTTGGCCAGTGCAAAAGTTAACAGTTTGGTAATGGTTTTGTCATATGAAACCTGTGACAGCATCACTTGGTGCCTGCCTTCATCAGCATTGCATTCACGAGAGAGTGGTCCACATATTCTTTTCTCAATTGTTCCAAATGTGGCCTCTGGAGGGGAAGCAGAATGCATGAGATTTTAATTTCGCCGAAGGAATGAAGGTATGCAATTTCACCAGTGTCCCACAAAGACTCTCCACCATGACAGCTCATTACATCACTGAAGAAACCCACACTGCAGTACCTGAATAACTGAATAAACCCACACTGCAGTACCTGAGTAACTGAATAAACCCACACTGCAGTACCTGAATAACTGAATAAACCCACACTGCAGTACCTGAATAACTGAATAAACCCACACTGCAGTACCTGAATAACTGAATAAACCCACACTGCAGTACCTGAATAACTGAATAAACCCACACTGCAGTACCTGAATAACTGAATAAACCCACACTGCAGTACCTGAATAACTGAATAAACCCACACTGCAGTACCTGAATAACTGAATAAACCCACACTGCAGTACCTGAATAACTGAATAAACCCACACTGCAGTACCTGAGTAACTGAATAAACCCACACTGCAGTACCTGAATAACTGAATAAACCCACACTGCAGTACCTGAGTAACTGAATAAACCCACACTGCAGTACCTGAATAACTGAATAAACCCACACTGCAGTACCTGAATAACTGAATAAACCCACACTGCAGTACCTGAATAACTGAATAAACCCACACTGCAGTACCTGAATAACTGAATAAACCCACACTGCAGTACCTGAATAACTGAATAAACCCACACTGCACGTACCTGAATAACTGAATAAACCCACACTGCAGTACCTGAATAACTGAATAAACCCACACTGCAGTACCTGAATAACTGAATAAACCCACACTGCAGTACCTGAATAACTGAATAAACCCACACTGCAGTACCTGAGTAACTGAATAAGCCAACACCAAACTAGATGAATAACTGAATAAACCCACACTGCAGTACCTGAGTAACTGAATAACCCCACACTGCAGGATCTGAATAACTGAATAACCCACAGTGCAGTACCTGAATAACTGAATAACCCACACTGCACTGACTGAATAACTGAATAAACCCACACTGCACTAACTGAATAACTGAATAAACCCACACTGCACTGACTGAATAACTGAATAACTCCACACTGCACTGACTGAATAACTGAATAACCCCACACTGCACTGACTGAATAACTGAATAAACCCACACTGCACTGACTGAATAACTGAATAACCCACACTGCACTACTGAATAACTGAATAAACCCACACTGCACTACTGAATAACTGAATAACCCACACTGCAGTACTGAATAACTGAATAAACCCACACTGCACTACTGAATAACTGAATAACCCACACTGCACTACTGAATAACTGAATAACCCACACTGCACTACTGAATACTGAATAAACCCCACACTGCACTGACTGAATAACTGAATAACTCCACACTGCACTGACTGAATAACTGAATAAACCCACACTGCAGTATCTGCATAACTGAATAAACCCACACTGCACTAACTGACTAACTGAATAACCCCACACTGCACTGACTGAGTATCTGAATAACTCCACACTGCACTGACTGAATAACTGAACAACTCCACACTGCACTGACTGAATAACTGAATAAACCCACACTGCACTGACTGAATAACTGAATAACCCCACACTGCACTGACTGAATATCTGAATAACTCCACACTGCACTGACTGAATAACTGAATAACTCCACACTGCACTGACTGAATACCTGATTAACTCCACACTGCACTGACTGAATCACTGAATAAACCCACCCTGCACTGACTGAATAACTGAATACCTCCACACTGCACTGACTGAATAACTGAATAAACCCACACTGCACTGACTGAATCACTGAATAAACCCACCCTGCACTGACTGAATAACTGAATACCTCCACACTGCACTAACTGAATATCTGAATAACTCCACACTGCACTAACTGAATATCTGAATACCTCCACACTGCACTGACTGAATAACTAAATAAACCCACACTACACTAACTCAACAACTGAATCACCCCAACACTGCAGTACCTTAATAACTGCATAAGCCAACACTACACTAGATGAATGACTGAATAGACCCACACTGCGGTACCTGAATAACTGAATAGGCCAACACTACACTAGCTGAATCACTGAATAACCCCACACTGCAGTACCTGAATAACTGAATAAACCTACACTGCAGTACCTGAATAACTGAATAAGCCAACACTACATTAGCTGAATAACCCCACACTGGACTAGCTGAATAACTACAACCCCACACTACACTGATTGAATAACTGAATAAACCCTCACTGGAGTATCTGCATAACTGAATAAACCCACACTGCACTGACTGAATAACTGAATAACTCAACACTGCAGTACCTGAATAACTGAATAGGCCAACACTACACTAGCTGAATAAACCCACACTGCACTAACTGAATAACTGAATAAACCCACATTGTACTAAGTGAATAACTTAATAACTCCACATTACAACTGGCTTTGCTTTCCGATTCTCAGCCAGGTGCCTAGAAGATTTCATAGTTGTTGAATGTCACTACAAGGTTTGAAGAGTCAAGGTATTTCTTATTCTCTGGAACTGTCATCAGTTGATTCACAATGACCATTCTTGACCTGCCTAACCAGTCTTAATGAGTCAATAAAGGCTTAAAGAGTTAACGAAGTTCCAAGACTTTACACCTGGAAAATTGTTCAAACTTTTGCACATGCCATTATTTTTCTATTTTTTCTAATTTTTGCATTAATGAAGTATAATGCATTAACATTTGCAAAAACATCTATTTTTCAAAATAGTTTACTCCAGAAGTTGTTTTTAGAAAATCAATGCAATATGAAATTTGACAGGTGTGTCTAAACTATATGATATATATGAACGACAGAATATACAACAGAACATTACAAGACAGTAAGTGACGCTGCTTTTTTTTTACAGGTGCCTACAAATTTTATTTTGGGAGATTTTGATTTCCAAAAAGAATTTAAAAATTTGATTTGTTCCTGGTCAATTGTCTAAAACCATTCCCATCTTTATATCAAACTTGCAGTCATGCACTCAAACATTAACATAACTCACCTGCCAGTGCTAAGAGAAGGAGAATACAAGACTTCGTCATGGTCTGCCTTGGTCTGATCCTAAGGTCAGCCTGCTGTGTGTTTTAACACAGTGACTTGACACACCTCCAAATTCCTCTCTGTCTTTCGTACTGGCTGCAGGTCCTTCACAACTTGTTCAGTTTATGGTAGAAAACAGGTAATGTTTTGAATACATTTAACATACATGAAAGCACCTTTGTACTACAACACACTGTTCATCTGATCATTCATTTAATTTGCATGCAGAATTCCTTTTATCTATTTTACGTTCAGGTCGTTTCTGCAAATGAGCTTATAACTGACAAACCTGGAAGGCATGGAGGAAAGGGTATCCAATTCCACAGTAATTATCTGTAGTGATAGCAGTCATAAAGTTATAATGGCATTATACTAACCCCATACACAATCCTCACTGGAAATGATGCAACTCCCATCAAACATTTAGTGCAAATCTTCATGAAGGACAAACCAATATACTTCAAAAATGTTTTAGCAAGTTAAATCCTCATAAATATAGTCAATATAGCTCATTTTTATGATGCTGTGAGAATGTTACAGGAGTATTCTACATAGTTCTAGGCATATCTCCTGTTTTGAGTTATATTTTGTCAGCTTGTTTTAAAAAATAATACATATATTAAATTGAATAAGGGAATTTCTCAAAATATAATGACTAAATATTAAAAACATCTAGAAATAGATTGAATAATCATATAATTTTTACAACGATCTCATGATGAAAAATATTACTGACTAGAAATAGAGATATTTTCACTTACCAATATATACATGTTTCCTGTGTTGTCAAAAAGAATTGACCTGACACACTTGAAACTGTGTAATTGGGGTGTGGATGACTGCCCTCTCCTGATTCATACATTTCAGAGAAAAGTGTGCTGCTGGATCTAAATCAACCCTCAATAAACCTGGTAATCTTACTCTCTTCATTGAAGATGGAACCGTGTACTCCTCTCCTCTCATTAGAAATCTGGGTGACTTTCATTTGATGTCCACGTCAGGTCTGTTGTTAAAACTTTTTTCTGTCTGTTGAACTGTTGAATGTCACCAAAATCAGACCCTGCATCTCTCAATCTACTGCTGAAACTATGGATGCCTTCATCTGTATGGCTTTGGCTCATCTTCTATTCCCAAGCTCCAGATGGTCTGGAACTCTGATGATCAGCTTCACTCGTACCTAGTCACATCATCACATTGCACATGTTCTCCAAATCTCCACTGGCTTCCTGTAAAGAGCCGCACACATTTAAAAATTCTACTACTTACAGGCAAAGCTCTTAGCAATCTTGTTGTGCAGTTGTGTTGTGAGTTGTGCAGGTCCTGTAGACGCAAAGCAGCCCCAGACCATCACACTACCACCACCATGTTTGACTGTTGGTATGATGTTCTTTTGGTAGAATGCAGTATTAGCTTTACACCAGATGTAACAGAACCCATGTCTTCCAAAAAGCTCCACCTTTGACTCAGAATATTAACCCAGAAGTTTGGTGGGTCATCTCGATGTTTTGTTGGCAAATGTGAGCCGTTGTGTTCTTTTTGGTCAGCAGTGGTTTGCGCAAGCTCTCCCATGGATGCCATTTTTGCCCAGTGTCTTTTCTTATTGTGGAATCCTGTACACTGACCTTTAATGAGGCAAGTAAAGCCTTCAGTTCTTTAGAGGTTCTTCTGGGTTCTTTTGTGACCTCCTGGATGAGTAGTTGATGCGCTCTTGGTGAGATTTTGATAAGCTGGCCACTCCTGGGAAGGTTCACCACTGTTCCAAACTTTTTCCATTTGTGTATAATGGCTCTCACTGTGGTTTGCTGGAGTTCCAGAGCCTCAGCAATGGCTTTGTAAACCTTTCCAGACTGGTAGATTTCAGTGACTTTGTTTCACGTCTGTATTTGTGTCTCTTTACAACGTGGCATCATGTGCTGCTTTTTGAGACCTTCTAGTCTGCTATAGATTGCAGGACAGGTTCTATTTAAGTGACCTTTAGATTCAACGAGTCTGGTAGTAATCCTGGGTTGAATTTGGTTGAAAAATGTTGACTTAGTAGTTAAGGGGACAATTATGTCTTCATGTAAGGCCTTTAAATACAGCAATTTGTGCTTGATTGGGTTATGTCTGTTTAATATTAAGTATCAAATATCAAGTGTGACAAATATGCAAAACTAGAAAAAATTGAGAAGGCGGCAGTTGCTTTTTAGCAGCTCTGTAAGAGCTCAATGATGTATGCTGGGGCTTCGCTGTTTAAAGCCTGGTAAAGGAACACTAATACTTTAAAATCTACTCTGTAGTTTACAGGCAGTCAGTGAACAGAGGCCAGCACTGGTGTAACAGGCTCCCTGCATTTTGTCCTAGAGAGAAGACAGGCTGATGGAGATTAAATGATCATTGTGTAACATTTTAGTAAGTCAGTAAGTCGTTTATCTTAACAGCCAGGAGTTGCACTGAAAAGCTGAAGAACGTTTGGCTACACTACCATTATTCCTGTATCTGAGCTGTATGTAAAATGCAAATCAGGCTGTGTGAGTGACTGATAACTCTGGCTTTGCATCTCTGCTAATGTATGGGACAAGAGTGGAGTGTGTGGGGGGGGAGTGAAAGATGAAGTGATATGGTGGCTTGTACTGTTCATTTGTAATGGAAATTGAGCAGCAGCTCATTGTGACCACACTCACATCCTGACCCTCACTTTTGCATCTATAATGGTCAAGATGGAGTGCGTTACTTATCAGTTATTTATCAGTGACAGTAGGCCTGGGGTGTTTGAAGTACTTATGAGAGATGGAAAAGTCTAACTGTCATTCAGAATGCTTTCTTCCACAGCTATTCATATTCATCAGGTTCAGTTTAGCCAGTTTAAGATGTGCATTATGAATTCCTCACATTCCTCGATAATTCCTCGATTACTGAATTTTCAAACACAATATCTTTTGAAAAGTCATTAATGTCATATTGTTGCTCATTATATTACTGTACTTTTGTCAATGAAATGGAGCATGGAAAGGTGTGTGAGGGAGAATTTTAAAAGTTTCTGACTTTGGCCATTAAAATGTACATGAGTTAGCGTGCTACAAGCTACTGTAATCCCTGGCAGAGGTTAGAGGTTAACACTATGCGATGTGTGGGATCATCAGCATAAATTTATTTTTATTTTTATTTTTATTTTTTTTGGGGTCAGGGACAATGCCGGTTAATAAACAGCATAAATAGACCTGTAAGTATAAGAGTTGAAGAAAAAAGTCTAATTTTCATCTGTTGGCCCGGGTCCAGAAAAAAAAAAACTCTGAAACAGCTTGAATTTAAAATGAAGGGAGAGTAGGAAAATTTGTAACATGAATTAAGTTGTAACCCCAGTTTCATCAAATAAGCTACAGGGATGAAAATGCTGTGAGCGCTCACCCCCTCCTGACCTGACAGGACCCAAAGCAGAGAGATCTCAACTCTCCAAAACCGGTGCCTTTGTAATCTCCATGCTGGACTGTTGTAACAGGATTTTAGCTGGATGCTCCAACACTTTACTAAATGAGCTCCAACTGGTCCAGAATGCAGCTGCTAGAGTCGTTACAAGGACCAAAAAATTCGACCATGTCTCCCAATCCTGTGGTCATTACACTGGCTACCTGTTAAATGTGGTGTAGAGTATAAGATCCTCCTCTTAACGTATAAATCATTAAATGGCCCCACAGTATCTTAGTGAATTAATTCAGTCATGTGAAACTATAATATTTTATTCTAATGCTGTTTGCTGTCCGGTGTGGTCCAGAGGAGGATGGGTTCCCCTTTTGAGTCTTGGTTCCTCTCAGTGTTTCTTCCTCTTTCTCTTAGGGAGTTTTTCCTTGCCACTGTCTCCATTGGCGACGCTCCTGGGGGCTCAGACCCCTCATCCTCAGGACCTCCACACAGTCCACATTTTTGCTGTTTTCTTATGTGCTGCAAGGTGTTTTGGAGCAAAATGTGGACTGTCTAGGGGGTCTGAAAGGATCCAGCTAATAACAGATAAAAATAAATAAGTTAACTGACTCAGAAGTTTATAACGTCTGCTAAGAACGAACTAGTTCAATATTTTAGGTGATGTCTAATGTACACCAGCTATTGAGATTTATGTTTTATAAATGTTTTTGTGAAACTTTACAGTGGTAGTGTATGTGTGTGTCCAATTAACAGTTATTTAAAGTATTTAGATTTGTTGAATAACACTGCTTACACCGCTTGCTAACATATTAGTTTGTGTGTAGGTGAGCACTTCCTATTATGGTAATCTCTGAATGTAAGTACCATACAAGTTAATGTCCATTTAAATGTTACACTTTCACAGGTTAATAATTCAACAACTCAGCTGGAATAATGGCTTGAAGCTGCTCTGAATATCAGTGTTCATTTGTAATTAGTTACTGATGAGAATGAGGAAAGCATTTAATTAAACTATGGCATCATTATCAAAAATAATTACTTATAACTGTGGTTCAGCTTCTGGGCCACTAAACACGATAGGACAGGAGCGTGGGGAACTGGGATTGGTTGGTGAGAGATGGAGTGATATGGAGGTACGACACTGTCACTGAGTCGTGACTGATGATCAGACTTCTCTAAAGAAGAGGACCATGAGGAACACTGGCTTTCTGTTGTTGGCTCTGTGGGCAGGTAGGAATTCTCACTGACTGCACTGTAAAAATTGTAGTGTGAAAATTTCACTAATTTATTGGCAGCAATTTCTCCAGTAATTCTCATTTATTTTACTGTTTACTGAATTTTATGGTAACACTTTATGTGAAGCCTGTATTCATAAGCCATTATAAACATGTTTATAACTCTTTGTAAGTTGGTAACAGTGCTTTGTAAGCATATTTAGAAACTCCAGTAATGCTTCATAAGGCTCTAATAATTCATTATAATTAATTATTTTGTGACTTATAAACAGTAATAACACCTCTTAAAGGGATAATAGCATGGACACAATTAAAAAGCACCTTTAATACATATTAGCAATTCCATTATTGAGTGCTTCAATTAAAGAGGTTGCTATTTTATATGTTTATTTTTTTTACTATAACAGACAATTCATTCTAAAAAAAGATTACAGTAAACATAGTTGTTTTGAAAATGTGTTTGTCCTACAAGGTCTGAATATGTCCAGAATACATAAGTGGCACCTAATTAAACTGACAGGGCAGGAAGCTCTACAGCTGATTCTGCAATAATAACAGATATACAGTAGAGCAGAGCAGACACTAACATGCACATCAACAGCATATTTAACATTCACATTTAAAAACAAAACGGAAATAACACTCACTTGAATTTACTGATGACGTTTTGAAATGTCCATAATGGTTTTATAAGTGTGAATACTGTATGTATAATACAACCCCATTTCCAAAAAAGTTGGGACGTTGTGCAGAATGTAAATAAAAATAGGATGCAATGATGTGCAAATTATTTAAGCCATATTTTTAAAGGAAAATACTACAGACAACATATCAAACGTTGAAACTGAGAAATGTTGTTTTTTGAAAAATATTTTGAATTTGAATATCAGGTATTAATGGTTTGCACATCATTGCATTTTGTTTTTATTTACAATTTGCACAGCGTTGCGCAAAATGGGGTTGTAGGTGCTTTTAATTGTGTACAGATCATTTTCTGTTTAAAATGCATTATATTGAATAGTGACACATCTGTTACTACATGTAGTGACCAAAGAATCAATTACAGTATATTATCACTTATGATGCACATATACAGTTTGTAAACATGCTTATAAAGCACTGTTACACCTTTATTACTGTATGATAATGCTATCTGCTAATTCAGTTATGTACAGCTGGTATGTGCTCTAATGTGAACCCACAGAGGTCTGAATGCCCTCAGTTCTGCTACTTTATGAACAAAATGTATGGATATAGGCAAACACCACAAATCTATCTAGCTTGCTTCTGATGCTTGAAAGTTCAGGCAGACTGCTAAACAGTTCAGAGAACAATCACACTATTTTTAACAACAGCGAAGAACTGTTTCAAACATCACATTACAGCAGTTACTGCACTTATACCAATCATTAAGACTACAAAGATGGCAGTAACCAAATTTCTACCAATTATAATGTTAGGGGACGAACTAGTTAACTGGAATACAAAACACCATCAAGGAGAGAATAATAAAACAGGCAAACCTCATTCAAACGTATCTTTCAGGTTAGAAATACATAAGTTAGGGATACAGTAGAATATTGCAGTGTGTGGGCTGTAAATTTACATCAGTTCTTTACAGTGTACTATCCTACAACATCATTTGTTTACAAATATTCTCTCTTTTTATGTCTTTCTTTTATATACACCACCATAGTGGTCTGTACACAGTCAGCTGCAGATGACTGTAAGAGTGCGCTGGGACAGCACCATGTCATTCTGACCATCCCTGGAGATAATGTTGGCCATTGTTCAGGGGCTCTTCTCAGCAAGGACTGGGTCATCACTGCAGCACAGTGTAACGAAGTGTGAGAACAAAGCAATATCAAACAGCACTATACACTGCAGCACTTAGAAGATTATTCCATCTACTTTATTTCACATGCTAGCAGTACTGTCTATGGAATAAAGGTCCCAAAGGGGTTCTTTGGAGCAATGCCTTACAAGAACCACTGAAGATCCTTTCAGTAGAGGGTTCTTTAAAGAAACATTTATTTGTTAATGAGATTTGTGTAGAACCTTTTAAATGGCTGATGAATCTTCCATGTAATATAAAGATTCTAAACAGATTCAGGGTTTCTCCTAGAACCACACAGCCATGTCAATAACCATTTAGGAATCTTTACATATTTTTAAGAATGTTACAATGTACAAAAACATGCAGTTTACCTTTAACCAGTTTACCTTTTACCTGATCATGCATGTACAAAGTATGCCTTCTGAATAACTTTACAATGTGAGATTAACAGTTGATATACAGTACTGTGTAAATCATTTATGCACCTGAGCAAACTGTTTAAAACTGTTTACCTCTGCAGTAACTGTGTTTTGGATGATAACTATAGTAATACTGGACTTCCTCAAAGAGACGGCAGAAAATAGTTGAACAAACACATTAACATATTAAAATCCACTACTTACTGAATTAATATCATTTTGTATTTGTGGTATGTATTGTTTTTTTTTTTTTTGCATTTTCAGAGCAAATACATACTTATTGCCCAAATGAGCTTTTAAAAATACATTTTTCTCAGGTGCTTAAATGTTTGCACTGTACTGTTTCTTCCCTTTAGATGTGAATTGGACAGCCCTGACCTTGGGTAAACCTGAGCAATTTAGTGAGCGATAGTAGTCTATTGATCTTAGCAGTTTTAGTAATCTAGCAAACATAAACAAGCTAGCTCATCTGTCATTCGTTTGTTTGTCCATTTATTCCTTCATTCCAGCATTCCGTGTGCATGTGCACATCAAGGCAAGAAGAGCCTTCTTTAAAGCATTGCCACATTTCGTTGCTATCTAAAAAATATATATCTCAGTTTTTTGTTCTTTTTCTTTTTCTACTTTTTTGAACATGGCAGATGTCCTTCACATTATGTGAAAAAAAATCAAGATGCATGAACCAACAGAAATGCTCCAAAATGTATGTCTTGGGTCTTGAAAAAGTTACTATTTTTAACAAACATAGGTTTTTATTTGTTTTATTTATTTTACTTTATATTTGGACAGCAATGATACTTAGAGCCTGTTTTACTTAATGCATCCTACTTGCACTTCTATATTTAGCTTAGCATGACTGGCATACCAGGCTGGGAGTGCTGGACAGAGAGATGTAAATTAAATGTACTGATTATTTATTTATTAAACATTTAGCTGCTTTTTTTTTTTACCAGTGTTTTATTTTTTATTGTTTTTCTCATTCAAACGTTGCTCAATGTATAACACTCAACTGGAGTTCCGTACAAACATGTTTAATATTTTACACTGTTCCCTGGGACTTGAAGGCAGATTGAAGATAGAAATAACATGGCTGTATGTTTTATTGGGAAAAAAACAACAAAAAAGAACTTTTTAGACTGGACGATTGGCGATACACATCCCTCAGAAGATCATGATGATTGGTTCTTTGTTTGTCAGTGATTTGGAGGTGATCCTTGGTCAGAGTGCCCAAAAGACTGGGGAGAGACGGAAGATCCAACAGAAGATAGTGTTCAAAGACAGCAAAGGATCTCATGACCTCATGCTGCTGAAAGTGGATGGGAAGGCCTCAGACAAGTTCCCCATGGCTCGTCTTCCTGACCGCAACACTTGCAAACCCCCGGCTGCTAAAACAGCAGTTCAGTTTTTCAGCTGGACCGGTGCCACCTTTCATTTTAAAGATAGTAAGATTTTCAGTACACGTCATTGATTGATTCTCAGATAGATAACTCTGATTAAAACAATGATGATCTGATGTTGGGCAACACTGTTGAATGAATACAGATCGTGGTATCGGCCAATGACTGGCATGTGAAAGAGGTGTAAAGAACCACCCAAGAACCACACCGAAGATTGAGGTTCTTGGGGATGGGGACGTCCAGACAGCATCACCTCATAGGAATAAAAGGCCTGACAATGTAAGAAAGGTGTGTTATACGTTGTACATCCTGAACTAAATCTACTATGCTTCCAACATGAATTCAACACTGCACAAACATACAGTAAACATTGTTTCATCGGTAAATAAACATCAGTACTGACATTAGATTAGGCATATCAAACTGGGGACCTTCTGGGCCAAAGTGCTGTGGAGCCTGACACATGCATTAGATCAACAGCTATTCACCCATCAGTGAGTGCTGTTGGATCAAGGTTCACCATAGTTGATTTTGCAATGTTGATGTAGTACAACAGGTAACATCAATGTCAATTCAACATCAGCAATCTACATAAATTCAGTGGGGTGCCCAACATCAAATCAACGTTGTTTCAAAGTTTGCTAATTTGATTTGGTGGTTGGTTTGTTTACTGTGATGAGTAACTAACCTCAGTTCTCAATGCAGACACCACACACCCTCAACAACTTCAGTGTGGAATGGTCAGCATTGCTGAATGTGGGAGCATGTCCAGGTATGGAGATGACCCAGACGAGGAGATGAAAGCCTATGTTTACCAGACGCTCCTGTGTGCTTCACACCCCACCAATGCCTGTGATGTAAGCCTGCCCCACTGTCCTCTTTCTGGTCTTCTTTCAGCACGTTTATAAGCCTCATTTTAAACGTACTTGTTGTATCTTATATAACAAACTGGGGCTGTTTTCTGCAGGGACTCTCATATGTTGGAAAATTATATTTTGTCACATGAAAGCATGTTAAATGTAAACAATACATCCAACATTTCCCATATAAAAATATGATAAGATCGATTAGATTAGTTTAGATAGTTTAGCAAAATAATGTTTGAAGTAAAATTATTTGGCAGTGCAGCAAGATCATTTACCTGATTAGATCTCTTTATATCTTATCTTATTATGCTCTCACAACAATGTCATAATGAGAAATATTAGCGGTATTTAGGATTATTCTCTTTAAAGTCATGATTAGCCTTGTATCACTTCAACAAGAATGAGCAGGGCTATACTGCCGTACAATGAATGTGCAAATGTGGACATGGCTGTGACATCACAACTAGGGATGCACACAGGTACTTGAATACTGAATAAATTGTACTTGCTGAATAATTCATAGTAGACACTGAATAACTTATAGGAGATACTGAATAGTTCAAAATAAATACTGAATAATTTACGGTAGATACTAAATAGTTGATAGCAGTGAATAATTCATAGCAGATATTAGCTTTATTGATAACGGTCTGTAGTCAGAGTGTCTGTAGAGGCTGTGTTTCCCGTAGCAGGTCAGTCAGACGGAGCGTTTCGTACAGTGTGAGTCTATAATTCGTAGCTTTGTCTGAACACGGTGGTCTATTCTAATGTACAGAGAACAAGATCTTTAAAATCACACAGTGTCTGTCTGGCTTTAGAGGACATTCAGCTACAGCTCAACCAGCCAATCAGACGACTCCAACAAGATGGAAAACAAAGTGTGAGATCCTCGGATGTGAGCTACTCGATCCAAGATAACTAATGTAGCATAGCTAGCTAATGCACTTCATTTAAAATCAGCCAGATTTTAATGATTTAACGGTAATTCATTAAGGTATCGGACTTGGTATCAGCAAGTACTAAAAAATTTGTACTCATACCTGTACTTAGTCTGACAAATATTGTGTTGATGCATCCCTACTTACAAGTAATACTATGTAATTAATATATAAGTACAGAATAATTAATATGGGAAAAATAAGATTTCAGCAATTAATACTAAGAAGTTATGTAGTTATATGACAGACTATAGTTGTGATTACTACAAACTTTTTCAAGAAAAACATGACTGTGTATTAGAAAAGAGTGGTACAATACTATAAAACAATTGCACAGTACAGTAACTCATTCCATATTAATTGGTATTTTGAGTTATTTTTACACTCTGCATACCAGAAAGATAAGAATACAGGTAGTTACTGTGAAATCAGTGCTGTTTCCATTACATTACAGATAATTTACCAGTAAGTACCTGTTAGAATGACTTCACATGATGATGATAAGAGAGCAGGTAGGGTACACTATTTTACAGTCCTATTACCACAGTATTATAGAGTACTTACTTGTTAACATAACAGTTAATATGGAGTGAATTACTGTACTGGAGGAAGGGTACTTGCCCTGCCTTACTCTGTACCTCTCTGTTAGGCAGGTATGTAAATACTGAAGCAGTTTGTTGTGATTACCACTATTTTTGACATAAATATACTGAAATTAGTTATTCTGTACTTACATATAACTTGCAGATTATGCACCAAATATTGCTTGTGTGTGCGCTACATATTTTCCATTAAATTCTGAGTAAGCACTGCTGTATATACCTGATAGTTTTCTTATAAGTTACTATGCATGGGTAAAGTGTGTACCAGGAATTTACTTGTACGTACTTCATAGTAACTGAATACGTGTAGCTGTAAGTACATAGTAGTTTTGTATAAATTGCTATGTATGTTCAAAGTAGGTACCATAAAATGAATTCCCAGTTACTGACTTACGTCCTGCATATTTACTTACTCCCCATATTTACCTATTAAATACTGGTTATTTACAATACCATCAAATAAAGTGCTGCCATAATAATTTTAAGTAGAAGAATGAAAAATGTCTTTGTATGATAATTGGATTGACTGATTCTTTCTCTCTCTCTCTCTCTCTCTCTCTCTCTCTCTCTCTCTCAGTTGTTCTCAGGTGCAGCTCTGATACACAGTGGTGTCCTGCATGGAGTGCTTGTTAATTCAGATATTTACTGTAAGGCTTCATTAGAATTCATGGATCTCTGTCACAAGGAATATAGAAAGTGGATCTTTGACACGGCGGGTCTGTAGAAGCTGCACAGATCAGTGTACTGCTTTATGATGATGATGATGATGATGATGATAATAATAAAGACATTACTGAGAGCAAAACAATATCTTTGGTTCCCATCTCTTTATTTTCAGATTCAGTTATATGCACTATGATTAGTGAATATTCTAAATACACTTGAAAGCTGAAATATGAAATATGGTATGTAAAGAAATATAATGAAATATTGCATGTAAAAGTTAATTGTGTTGGGGAAAGCACGCATTTTTAGAGTTCCAGAAGTAACTTAGTTTTAAAATGAATTGCTTTTACAGGCTCCCGAGTGGCGCAACCGTCTAAGCGTTGTCCCTCATCAGGAGATCGCGAGTTCGATCCCTGGTGATGCTACAGCCTCGGGAGTCCGAGAGAGCACAATTGGCCTCGCTCTCTCTGGGGTGGGTAGGATGGTCCCCCTGTTGTCCCCCATCACTCAGCGCGATGCTAGTCAGCGCAGGCGTCTGTTAGCTGACGTAACAGATCTGGCGGTTGGCGCTTTCCTCCGAGCGCATTCGGCTGTCCAATGACGTTGCGTGAGCAGCAGCTCGAAAAGAAGCGGTGGCTGGTTTCACAGGTCTCGGAGGAAGCCGTTGTTAGCCTTCACCCTCCTAGCGTGATTGGGGAAGTCCTAACTAGCGGGTGTAATTGGAAACGACTAAATCGGGGAGAAAAAAAATTAATTAGTTTTATAATATCAATATCATAATGAAAAATATTAGATATTTTCATGGGATTTCAAATTATTTTACTTATCACATTTCGGAGTCAGGCTACTTTTAAATGAAGCTGAAGTGAAATACTTCTTTGCAGACCACTGATGGATTTGAGGACAGTTTTCACGGCAGATTCATGACAGAATTCAGACGCTCGCGGATAAAAAAGGCAAAGAGGGTTTTATTACAGTTCAGCAAAGGTGTGGTCAAAAAACAAGCGTGGGTCGTAGCCAAAAACTCCAGAGGATCAGCGTAGTGATCATAACACAAAGCAGCCAAAACAAAAGGGATGAGCAGACATCGTGGTCGAAGAATCAAGCCAAAATGGTCATAACAGGTTTGTGAACACTCAGTAAGTTCAGAAAGAAGCAGTACCTCGCAATGACTACGACTAAAGCCCGGGCTTAAATACTAAACTGAATCATATAACAAACACAGGTGCATGATATCAGTATTCAGGGGATTGAGAACGCTGATAGGTGCGTGAGCGATTGTCAAAAGTCATGTGACCTCCCGAGGGATTGTGGGCAATGGAGTTCATTCGGGACTCCGCGTTTGAAGGAAGTTGCTCCGACACGTGATCTCCCGACGCATTCTGGGAAATGCAGTCCGAATCAGCCTGAGGCGTGACACAAGAAGATTTGCTGTACAGAGTAAAAGTTTATGAAGGGTTGTAAAAGAAATTCTGTAATGCTGTAAAAAAAAAAATCAGTTTTATCAATTTATGGAAAAAACTGGCAGCTGTTGTTGCCAAAATAATTCTGTAAAAAATACAGTGAAAATGTAAACAACCCATATTTTTACAACATAAAGTTGTTGTTGTCACTGAAAAATACCAAACAAACAACAATGTTTAAGTGCAAAGGACTCATTATAAAACTGCCATTTAATGGATTTTTTTTAGCAAATTTTACACATTTTACACTTTTTTACATACTCTTTTTATTAATGCCCTTCTCTGGGTTGATGGAGAAAAAACACCTTGGAAAAAATATTCTATTAATAATAAAATAGCTAACAATAAAAAAAACTCCACATCAATCATCTTTTTAAAATTCAAGCTATTATTTTAATGCTGTTTATAATAGTCAAAAGGTAAAATGACAAGTCCCGTAACCACCCCTCCCCCCTCAAGTCACTGCAACAACTACTTCAGATTTAGCAGCAGTAGATACTGCATCCCTGGAAGTAGAATACTAGTATCGGTCCAATGTACCTGTATTCGGCCTCATAAAAAGGCACCAATACATCCAATAACAGCTGATACCATGTAACGTAAGCTGAGTGCACCCTGCAGCGCTAATGAACAAATGTCTTAAGCTGGTAGTGAACAAGGATCTGCTTGCAGAGTTACTGACTCCATGACAGTCGGACATAAAGTCGCTGGTCACTTAGCCTGTTTTTAGACACAGACAATCACTTCCACAGTATGAGTGGACACACAAAACAGAACAAATTTATATTCAATATTTTCTACCAGAGTCCATATATGTGACTGTACTCTGACTGAATAGAACACCAAAGTATAAATGTTAATATGTTGACTTTCTTTTAAACTGTCTTTGTGAAACAGGCCGTAGAGAGAGAGAACCCCCTGGTTTTCATTGTTAGCAGCACTGTTTTTCAGTATGTTTGCTCAGTGCGTTATTGTGAATGGAAATTTTATCTAAAATTGTCCATAGACAGAGCTGTCTGTACAGGCTGCATGTGGATCAAGTGTTTTCGTACAATGTGTCATCAAATAACAAAATTTCTAAAATTGCAGTGTATGACTGGCTTTAGAGGAGATTCAACTGCATAGCTCAACCAACCAAAAAGACTTCAACAACTCAAAATGTGAGCTATTCAGATGTGATTCCTACTGTCATTGTGCTACAGAGACAGACGAGGAGCGACAGGGGTCACAATTATGAAATGTACTTCGCTTACAGCTGTACAGAAGCAGTTTTTGTTGTGGAACAAAACCCGCTCTTCTCCACTGCAACGCTACTTGATCAGAGATAACTAATGTAGCACAGCTAGCTAATGCACATCATTTAAATCAGCTGGATTTTAATGATTTAACTGTTAAGGAACACAACTCTCATTAACACTAACAATTACAGCATTCAAAGTACATAATTCAGTATGGTATCGGACTCTGTATCGGTGAGTACTAAAAACTCGTACTCCATCTGATAAAATAAAAAAAATGCATCCCTATTTGTTTCAGTTCAATAAAGTGAAACCACAGGGTTATATTGATATATATATATATATATATAATATATATATAATATATATATATTGAGGGGCTGTCTGGAGGCTACACAATGGGATGTCCTGTGTGAACCAGAAGAAAAGAGCATTTGTGGCAGGAGATAGGGAGGAACTGAAGAGGGTACAAAGAAGGCCAAACAGGAGTACAAGTCCAAGCTGGAAAACACCTAGAGCTGAATAACACTCGTGATGTCTGAAGATGCCTAAAAGACATCACTGGCTTCAACCAGTGCAGCCCTATTCCAGCAGAGGGAAAGCATGAATGGGCAAATGAGTTGAAAAAAAGAACAGTTCTTTGTACGGTTTGACAACGGCTCCTCTCCTGCTCCACTGTGTCTGTCTCCTACGCAGATTAACACTCCTACAGAACTACACCATGGGCCACCCACAGCCTCACCTTCCTCCACCACAGCCATTCACACCGGTGACCATCAGCAACCACTGTCTGAAATGGACACCTCTCACCCTCCCCCCACAACTGGAACATCCTGTGATAATACATTCACTGCTAATCAGGTGAAGAAGGAACTGAAAAAACTCAAGCAGAGCAAAGCAGAGGGACCTGATGGCATTGAACCCAGGGTGCTGAAACAGTGTGCGGAGCAGCTGTGTGGAATTCTTCAGCACATCTTCAATCTGAGCTGCAGCCTGAAAAGAGTCCCAGTTATGTGGAAAACATCTTGTGTGGTTCCTGTCCCCAAGAAAAGGCAACAACAGCCCTGAATGATTATCGACCGGTTGCACTGACATCCCACTTAATGAAGACACTTGAAAGGCTGATGCTAGCTCATCTGAGACCTCTGGTCAGAACAGCTCTTGACCCTCTGCAGTTTGCATACCAGGATGGCACTGGAGAGGATGATGCAGTTACCTACCTGCTGGACAGAACGTACTCTCACCTGGACACATCAGGCAGCACTGTGAGGATCATGTTCTTCGATTTCCCCAGTGCATTCAACACCATACAGCATGTGCTGTCAGGGGAGAAGCTACGGCTGATGCAGGTGGATGAATCCATCACTTGTGGACAACAGACTGGACATCTGACAGGATGACCCCAGTATGTGCGACTGCAGGGTTCTGTCTCAGAAATGGCTGTGTGCAGTGTTGGGGCACCCCAGGGGACTGTGTTAGCCCCATCCCTGTTCAACCTCTACACCTCTGACTTCAGGTACAACACAGAGTTGTGTCATCTGCAGGAATTTTCAGATGATCGTTGTGGGGTGCATGAGGAATGGACAGGAGGAGGAATACAGGAATCTGGTGAAGGACTTTGTTGACTGGTGTAAGGTGAACCAGCTGCAGCTAAACATGAGTAAGACTAAGGAGATGGTGCAGGACTTCAGGAAGTCAAAACCTGCCTTGTCACCAGTCACCATTGATGGAGCTGATGTGGAGGTGGTTGGGACATACAAATATCTGGGTGTGCACTTGGACAACAAGCTGGACTGGAGCTGTAACACTCTCACGGTGTACAAGAGAGGCCAAAGCCATCTCTACTTCCTGAGGAGGCTGAGGTCTTTTGGTGTGAGCACTAAGCTCCTATGGACATTCTACCAGTCTGCTGTAGCGAGTGCTTTACTCTATGCTGTTGTGTTCTGGGACAGCAGCACTAACAAAAGTGCTCTGAACAAAATGAACAAACTTATTAGGAAGGCTGGCTCTGTTGTAGGAGTCAAGCAGGACTCTTTGGCGGTTGTGGCAGAACAGAGGATGCTTAACAAACTCGTATATGGATATAACATAACGGATAACATCTCACACCCCCTGCATGCTACACTGGATAAACAGAGAAGCTCATTCGGTGGCCGTCTGTTACAGCTGTGCTGTGTTAAAGAGGCCGTGTGAGATCTTTCTTACCCACTGATATACGGCGCTACAACGAGTCTCCTTACTGCAGAGATGGTACTGATCTTCTGCTGTCTGAACTGAGCTGAACCTCATCACTGTATCTCCTCTCTGATTAATACAACACTGCAATATATCACAACTATTACTGTAATGACACTTTTACTATGCACTTTACACTGTAATACTGATGCAACTCAGAGTTAGTTATGTCTATAATATGTGCTTTTAGTTTACCTCATACCACTCAGTGCCTGCTGTCATTTAAATACAACAAATCTGTCTCATATGCCATGTAAATATGCAAATATATACTTTTATTTAATTTCTCTTATACTTTAACTTATGTCTAGATTTATTTCTATTTTCTATTTATCTGTATAGTATATGTAAGTTTATGTGCAATTATATGTGTTGCTATCTATCTATCTATTTTAAGAACCTCATCCCAACTGTAAAACATGGTGGTGGCAGTATCATGGTTTGGGGCTGTTTTGCTGCTATTGGAATAGAACAGCTTCTCATTTAATGGAGCTATGAATTCAGGATTGTGTTAAGAAATTCTGCAGGAGAATTTAAGGGCATCCAATCTGTGATCTGAACCTAAACAGAAGGTGCATCCTGCAAAATAACAACCCTAAAAACACCAGTTAGTTTATAAAGAATGTTTGAGGCAGAAGAAATGTTGCATTTGAGATGTTGTTTAGTCAAAGTCCAGACATTCATTCAGTAGAAATGTTGAGGTGGGACCTAAGGTGTTCATGCAAGAAAGAAATTGGGTTCTCTTTACCATCTGCTCCAAGATAAATGAAGATCTGATCATATTTTACATCAAATATATGTGGAATGATAAAGCGTTTACAAACTTTCAAGCAGCATTACATAGCAAATAAATAAGATACAATCTGGAGGCTTGCATAGCATTCACAGCATAACTCAAGAGAACTTAAGAAAAGCACAGACAGAAGGCCAGGTATGAAAAAACAGCAAAGACCAGGAACTTTGAATAAGGGCAGCAAGTTCTGCTGTTTCTGTTGACAGAAGATCTACAGAGTAAATATCAGCAAAATCTGGAAAGAAAAATGTGACACAGTCCGTCAAGAAACTGAAAAGAGGCTGGAGTCTGAAACAACAATGATCCAAAACATACTTCAAAATCCACTATGAACTATTTCAAGACAGGGTGTGTGATGGTCCTGTAGAAGAGCATGTAGTGTGTTTGTTCTGAGGGAAATAATGGGAGTATAAACAGTGTAATCAGTGCAGTGGTGAATGATTTTAATTCAATCACTGCTCCTTTTTTACCCATCTATAATTGTTATGCGCCTTTTTCTTTCATTTGTTCCTTCTTCATCCCTCCGTTCTTCCATAAACTGCTATTAATGTTCCATAAACTTATTTGACTTCAATTGCTCTGTTTACGTTTAGTTAATCATTTAACTATTTATTTATTTAACTGTACATCTAATCTCTAATATAGCCCACTATGGAGCCTGTAGCCTAAACTGAGCAGCTAATGGAGCTGGACTAAATTTGGCTTGCAACATTATGACCAGCCCAAGCAAAAATGTTATGTGTAAGCTTATAGCATGTGTGCTGCATACCTGAACTTCTCAAGAAGTCAAAGTGACTCTGGTTTTCTGGGCTGTGTAGCGTCTCGTACAGAGACAAACAGAGTGGGCAGTTCAGTCCATGGCCGAGCCACAACTGTTCTGAGGTCAGCTGAGAACCTCTCACTGCTTGCTGTGTAGTTTCATCGCTTTTTGAATCTCATAAAACCCTGAGATCCTTCGGAGAAGCTCGGAGTCCTAACGCTAGGATTACTTTAGTAAATGTGGACAGCAACAATTAATAAGTGGTGATTGGAGGGTTGAGTGTGATAAAGTGCGTCCCTCGGCCCGGCAGTTCGCTGTGGCAGGGGACACACCTTATGGGTAGCGTCGGGCAAGTGGTCCAAGTCACTGGAATAAATACAGCTAATTCAAGAGTCTTTCTCCCCGTCACCTTTATTTACACTCCAACACTCAGGATTATTTACATATTTACATGCGCACACAATAAACAAAAACAAACGAAAATAGGCTCTACCACTATTGTATTGACCAATGACTGCAAAATCATATGGGTCTGTATTTGTACCACCTTCACTCTTCCACCACTCTGAAAGAAGGGATCTCCCCCGTACCCCCCAGTAATGGCTCTTATATTCGGGGTGCTCCTCCCCTAGAATATACCATTACTGGCCAGGGTTAAAAACAAGTGCTCCACGTAAGTAAATGTATTTACATCCAACAGTAAATCATTTGTGATCTTCCTTACTACTTAACTTTCCATTGATGATGTCACTAACACATGTTCACAGTACAGTGTACACTTATTAAACAGTTTCACTCTTCTCCAGGTTTGGTCCTTCCCTACTCTTCTACAGAGGATGGGCTCACCCAGGTAAGTAAATCACAGGTGAACCCATTCAGTTCTCTTTGCTCCTCAAAGCAAGGATAACCAGTCCTCAGGTAAGTATAGGTAAGTGTTTACACTCAGTCATTATATTGTGATGTGTAGAGGAGCACTTTACATCATCACATTGAGAAAATAACGCAGAGCTTCGAATTCTCCCAATCCACCATAAATGGTGCAGCAGTAACGTACATTCTAACGTACAATGGGATGAAAAAACTGTGCTAGAGGATGAAGCTTTATGAAATCATACCACAAAGTCATACCACACTTTTCTAGGGACAGCAGCCCTCACTGACCACACAAAAAAAAAAAAATCAGCAGCATGACCTCTGAAATAGATGACTTCCCAAGTTTCACCTCAGAAAACTAGCATGATGAACTGAAATAGACCACTAGTCTTGTTTCACCTCTTCCTTTAGTGCTGCTGCCTCCAGGATGTGAGTCTGATATCCTGAGCTAACTGTCAGTGTATCAGAGTCACAGTGCTGTGTGGTTTAGTATCCTAAGCTGATATAAAAGAGACTCAGTTCAGAGTCTGATGTTGATTAATAGACCTATGGAGTCTGAAATGGATCATGATGTGATGGTGCTGTAGAAGAACATGTAGTGTGTTTGTTCTGAGAGAAATCCAGTTAGACTCTTGGGAAGTTCTGCACTGTAGGAACACAGAACAACAGTGTAAGTCGTGTAGAGTGAAAGGTGTTGAGAGTGAAAGACCAGCTTAAAATCAGACTCGAGTTTTTTCTATGGAATTCAGTCCTGAACTATGTGTTGCAGAGCTAGACCTCCAGTTCAGGTCATTAATGTTAAAAAACAGTGATAAATAAATAATAACAGAACAGGTAATCTGCTGTAGATGCCAAATGTTGAGTGTATGAGATTAATTTAAATTAAAGTATGTGAAAGGTCTAGATTGTGAGATTAGCACTTCTAAGGGGTTTGTAATGTAATGTTAGCTCCAAGCTAACGGTGGAGCACATGAGGATTTTATAGCAGCTCTAATTTAAACACAGATATTTACGGCTTATAACAGACATTCTGTTTACATATTTTTACTGTGTGTGTTTCAGTTTTACAGTGACTTCAGTAAAGATCTGAATTGAATGTCTCTCTCTGAATATTATTGGAGTAGATGCATGTCTACAAATATGTGGTAACAAACAACTGAAGCATTTTTAGGTTGAACAGAGACTAATGCTTACAGTCTACTCACCTCTGAATATGATCTCCTAATAAAACTGATGAGTCTGAGTTTGTTGAAGGATTTCTTCAGGGACTCCCTCTTTCTCAGGACTGAGAGAAACATCCATTTCATAATCTGTCCAGATCCTTATAATAAACTTTATAATAAATGAGACTCTAGCTGAACTCTACAGCTAGTTCCAGACCTGTGGAGATCAGGAAATAAATCCCTAAAATCACAAAGCATTTACAGTCTAATGAAAAGAAGAACAAATTCCATCTAAAGTCCTGATTTCCACAGAGTGTGTTATTGTGTGTGTCCATCCTCCCCCTCAGCACCTGCAGTAGAGTCCAGCTGCAGCAGTGCAGTCTCTGTGCAGCTGACTGAGGGGGCTTTTTGTACACCTACTAAACACTGTGGGAACACCAAGCTACTACTGATCAAGTGTGCACTCTGACAGTAATAATCTCCTGCATCTTCAGTCTGGACATTACTGATGGTCAGAGTGAAGTCAGATCCAGATCCACTGCCACTGAAACGAGCTGGAATACCTGATTGTCTATTGTTAACAATATAGATCAGGAGTTTAGGAGCTTCTCCAGGTTTCTGCTGATACCAGGCTAAAGCAGTATCAAGAGCCACATCAGTGCTGGTTCTACAGCTGATGGTAACTGAGTCTCCTGAAGAAACAGTTTTCACTGCAGGAGTCTGAGTCACAGTCACCTGACCACTGGATCCTGACAAGTAAAATAAAATGTACATAAAAAATGCAACAAACATTAAAAATACAAAATCACATTATAGATAAAGAATATAAAACATAAAATACACACCAAAAACCATAAAAAATAATTCACGCAAAGGTAAATGAGTGAGGTACCTTGAGTCCAGAGGGTGAGTGTCCAGATGAAGATGGAGACCAAAGTCATGGTTGCTGTGGGTGAAGTTTGTGGGGCAGCAGCTCTCAGTCATGAAGTGTTAAACTCACAGGACTATAAACACTAGCAGAGCACTGAAGCATGGGCTGATAATGCAAAGTGGAGCCTCTATGGAAATCATCTTTCTATCAACACTGAGTAAAGATGATCATATTTATCTGATATTGTTTGATCAGACATTTCTGCTCAGTGTGGAATCTGATGTTTAAAGTGCAGCTTTTTATAGAGATGTGGGAAAATGAAATCTCTTCTGATTCCCACCAGAGTTTTCTGAAAGAAGACAGAATGATTTGAGCGTTATATTACATTTCACTCCCCCAGATGATCCTTAAGGCATTAAGTGGAGAGGAAAAATAAGGGGGTCACAGAGGTTTGTGGAGGTCAGTAGTGGAGACTATTGCTGGGAGCTACTTCAGCTCAGCCAGGCTTGTCTAATTCTAGAGAGATTAGAAGTGAAATATTCCCTTTAATGTCCAGCAGAGGGCGATCTCTTATTGTGCAGTTCTAACTGTCTCTGCCTTTCATTTGAGGTTTTCTGCAGCTACGACTGCCACCCAGTCTGTCTGTATCAGGACTGGAGGACTTTTTGGTGGAGGAAACACAATGAAAACAGTAAGAACCATTTAATATAATATTTTAAGAAATTTTACTGAATTTATTTTTATTATATCTAATTTGTTTTTCTCATTAAGACAATTGTGAAATGTGTCTCACTAAGCAATTTCATCACTTTGGAAGCTGCACATCTTTACAACATTTTTAATAATATTTTCATAAGTCAGTGTGATCAAATCTGAAGATTTACACAGTTTTAAAGGGTCTATTGAGTCTTTAGGAAGCTAAGTTTGTTTGTCTGTTGTGGAAATTCCGAAGGATCAATCCTGTCTTCAGTTTAGATATTTTACCGCTTATAAAATAATCCTTGTTGGGAATAAAAGGCAGAACGTGTGTAGATCTACAGTGTGTAGTTTATTCCATTATTAGATGATTGTAGAATCCATTAATATTGTATTATAGGTCAGAAATAGTGCGTGTAGAGGCTGAAGAGAGCGGCGTGTTTAGAGCAGGAGGTTTTTGTACAGCCAGTAAACGAGTTTGTATCACTGTGGTGGACTTTTGGTGGAGGAACCAAACTGTCAGTTGGACGTAAGTACACTTTTACTCCTTATTCAAAAGGAATCTTTTATTAAAATGATTATGGATCAACAGTCCAGACGTACTTGATGTTCTTCTAAATCAGTTCTGATCCAAATTTGAATGTATTTCATTAGAACTTGGCTGAAGTGTGGCGAGCGTGGAGCTTTAGGCTTTACCACGAGCTCCTGTTTCTGAACTGGATTTCTTTTCTTTAAAATACTAATATTTCCTAAAGGTTTCCTGTGAAGTGTTCAGTAATGACGTTTCTTTAAAAAGATCAGATGTAGAGCTGGATTGTAGTGTCAGTGTTGGGCTCCATTAGAGCAATTCTGTCTCCATCTGGAAGCCACAATGTGGAGGTTATTCTGAGCAGCGTTTTCTGTTCTAAAGCTTTGAAGCCATAGTACATGGAGACTGCAGCTCCATTTATTTATTGATTATTTATTGTTTTGGAGGAAATCAAATCATGTTCCATTTCAAATTTCACATCACAGGATGTGCAGAATGTCAGAGTTTTACTGAGTGAAATTCAGTAATATTTTCTAATAAAAATGTAAATGAAGTGCAGCTATGAATGTGACTGTAAATATGAGTTTGTGTGTGAAACGGTTGAGTTTAAGGTTGTAATTAGAGTTTGGTTTTTAATGCATCACTGAACTCAGTTTTGCTCTGTTAGAAATAAGGGAAATGAAACTGTGTGTGTCCTAGGTTTGGCCCGGCCCACCCTCACAGTCCTGCCCCCCTCCAGCGTGGAGCTGCAGCAGGGGAAGGCAACACTGGTGTGTTTGGCCAATAAGGGCTTCCCCTCAGACTGGACGCTGAGCTGGAAGGTGGACGGGAGCAGCTGGAGCACGGGGGTTAGCCAGAGCCCCGGGCTTCTGCAGAAGGACGACGGCCTCTACAGCTGGAGCAGCACCCTGACCCTCCAGGGGGACCAGTGGCTAAAGAAGACAGTGACCTGTGAGGCCACCAAGGACTCCCAGCCTACTGTCAGCAAATCACTGAGCAGAGAGCAATGCACTGGGCAGTGAGCGTCCACGCGTGTGTTGGAGCTGCTAGAGCTCCTCTTGATCTTCAGTGAGCTCAAACATGGCTCTGCTTAATGCTCTGATCTTCATCTCATCACTTCATCATCACAATAAAGAGCTTCAGTATAAATATCTTCAGTCTTTCATTGTTTATTGTGTTAGTTTCTTTTTCCTGATCTGTAATTTACTGGAAACAATTCTGTTCATTCCTCTTGTAAAAATAAAGCTTTTGGATCAGAATAACTGCAGTGTTTTATATCATGTTTTTTAGAAGATTTTTTGGAATAAAATGCATGAAGAGATTGTTATTTAAATTTTACACATTCATAAAATGGTTACAATTCTTAACATTTTCCAGTATACCATTAATATAAAATGAATGAATAAAATAATGATCAAACAATCAGAGAAAACATTATACAACAGAATTCACACACCAACACAAATATATATATATATAGGGTTTTAATGTATTAATGTAAGTGTAATGAGTTCAGAGTGATTATGTGTGAAGTTGGGCTACAACTACAGCTTCTCCTGCTTGCTTCTCCAAGTTCTCCACCTCTATTACAGAGTCTTCTCTACTGTATAATTAGTTTTAGATAGCATCTGTTTGAAGAGCTTAATGGGATGATTAAGGTATTAAAGCCTGCCTGCTAAAACAGACAGCGCGCTCCCATTAAAGCCTTCATCACTGCATCTCATTTGCTGTTGAAACAAACACTTGTATCTCCTAAAAAGTACCTTTAAGGGAGAAGTACAAACATTCTTAACTTTGAATGGAAGTTAATGGAGATATTACTTATTCCAAGTATATTTAGGACCATTTTATTTGTCCATTCTTCATGTATTTTTACACAATAAACAGGGCAGTTGGTGATTTCACATTATGTTTAAATATGAAAAATGATGAAAAAGGAGATGTGAGGTTTCGTCCTGACATTGATGACATATTCTCTTGGTTGTTTATTTAACAGCTTTTGCATAAGCATATTAACAGCTTTTGGCTAATGATATAATTTGGTTATAATTTTGGTTTGGGGGTTAATTTCATGTGTCAATTCATACCAATAACTAACCATGTATGCTATACGGCCAAAAGTATGGGGACACCTGACCACCACACCTATATGAGCTTGTTGGACATCCTATTCCAAAACCATGGGCATTAATTGCCCCCTTTTTTGGCTTTAACAGCTTCCACTCTTCTGGGAAGATTCCCTCAAGATTTTGGAGTGTGATCCACCACCCAAATACTACCTGCTCTGTGAGGGTCCATGGGGCTCCTGACCACTGAAGAAGAGGGTAACAAAGTATGCAGAGAAACAGATGGACTACAGTCTGTAACTGTAGAGCTACAAGGTGCTCCTGTACGGTCAGTGGAGCTGATGAATTTCACAGTCATTGCAAATACAAGGAGGTGGTCGATGTCTATTTGCATTAATGCTAGCATTATGTAGGGTCTGTTCTGACTGAACAGATGAAGTTAGACTTTCTTTCCTGTGTCTCTTTGCTTCTCTCTGCTGCACTTGAATAGCATTTTTCTCATGCAGTTATGCATGAGATGCAGTTATGCCCACCACCCTCTCATGGTTATAGTCCGTTATAGCCATGAGGAGTGGGTGGGGCTGCACTGGAAATACTGAATCGGTACAATCACAAAAATAACGGCTATTTTGAAATTGTATATACATTTCAGAATGGGTTATTCAACATCAACACATACAGTATATCCAACTTGTATTTCCATGGTGCCCTTGGGTCATGGGGGCCCTAGGGGGTGCCTGTCTTTGCCTAGTGCAATCACTACCAGTGTACAGGGGCACAGTCATGCTGGAACAGGTAGGGGCCTTCCCCAAACTGCTGCCCAAAAGTTGATACCATATACTTGTGTAAAATGTGTTTGTGTGCTGTAGCGTTAACATCACCCTTCACTGGAACTGAGGGGCCTGAAAAACAGTCCCAGCCCATCATCCCTCCTCCACCAAACTTTACTGTTGGCACTGTGCGTTCCATTAGGTAGCGTTCTTCTGGCATTCATCAAACCCAGATTCATCCATCAGATTGCCATTAACACATGATTCATCACACCAGCCGACACTTGGCATTGCACATAGTGATCTTAGGCTTGTGTGCAGCTGCTCGGTTATGGAAACCCATTCTATGAAGCTCATAGCACACAGTTATTGTGCTGATATTGCTTCCAGATGCCGTTTGGAACTCTGTAGTAAGTGATGCAGCAGAGGATAGGCGGTTTTTATGCACTGTGTCACGTCACTGAGCTCAGTATGACCTTTTCTACTGACAGAGTTTCAATATGGAGATAGTGTAGCTAAGTGCTTGATTCCAATTAACAATGGATGTGGCTGAAACACCTGAACTCAATAATTCAAAGTGTCCACATACTTATAGCCACATAGCATACATTTAAACAGAACATGAAAACTAGCTATTCCTTCAAAATGAAAACTTGGGCATTTCTGAATGACGTTATTATTCAGCAGTCAGCTCCACTCTGTGTGTGTTCTGCAGTGGATTTTGCTGAAGGTAAAAGTACCAACACTGATTCAGATCATGATGATCAGCTTGTCTGAGGTCAGTGAGATTCTCCTGTATGAAGACATTCACAGGTTTTAATGAGAGGTTTGAACTGCTTTTATGACACTTCATCTGATGTTAGTTAGATTATGAGTTAGGAAAGTTCTAGTTGTTCCACTGTGTAAAGAGGAACTAGTAAATGTTCTCCAGTGCTAGAATGCATTAGTGCTGCTGCAGAGTGTCCAGTTCTTTTGAGTTTAGTCTGAGTTCTTTACTGTAATGAATGGTGATGGTCAGTGTTGTTAGAGAGGGAGTTCAGCTGTAGATTCAGTGCAGTGCTGTGTGTTGATCTTGAGGGAGTTTGGCTGAATTAAGCTGAACATCTGGTGAAAGTGCTGCTCTATTCTGGGAGAAAGAGGACGACTCAGGCCTGTTCATGCAAATCTGAGTTTCACCCCACTGCTCTCTCTCTCTGTCTGACTGTTTACTGCTTAAAACTGCTGGTTTGTGTTCAGCTGGGTGGGCTGTGGGGGGCTGGTTTCACTTCTTACTTTAGTGCTTCCACTAACTGTCATTGTACCCAAATCAACCAAGCATTTATTGGTAACAACAACCAAATGTAGAACAAACAGACACTTCTAATTCTTTGCCCTCAGTTTTCATCCTCCTTGACATGTCATCTATCTTTGACTGTGAACCCCCAGAACTTCTTCTCATCTTCAGGATCAATCCTACAAGGTGGCCTGGAAAGGGTATGTCTGGGATCCTGACAGCCTCACTATTGGAGTTCCCCTAAATTGCAAGGTGCTACAAGACAGGGAGCTCCAGGGCACACTGCAAACAGAGCCTCAGTCCAAGCTAGCATTGTGGACATCAGCAGCACCTGGTTCCAACTCCACCTTGCTAGGAAAACAAAATTAAAAACCCGAAACTGAACCAGGAAAAAGAAAACATGGAATGGAACCAGGCAGGGCCTTGACAATATGAACACAACACAAACTGGACTGAACAAAGTGATCTGCATGAGTCGTGTAAAAGATTTCCATAGTAACATAGTTTTACTTCACTACAGTGTGAAATGCCCCCTTCCTGACACTATAAGGTTTTAGCAATAATACAGTTCTTTATTTATTTAAACTGAAATATTCTGTGATGTGTATTCCTGACTAAATCTATAACATAAGAGACACTCCTTTCTCTCATTCGGTCACTTGCTTGTTTTGGTGTCATAACACTGTCATCACCCCTGCAGAAGGTTGTGTTTCTATCCAAGTAAGTGTTTCTATCCATCTGTCTTGAATAGTCCAGCTAATATCAGTCTGGATTCATGTTTTATTCTTTCTAATTTTAGGTCAATTAAGACCTTAGTCAGTCCATCACAGTTGATCTGTGCTGTTTATATGATCGTATCTGAGACTAACAGTCTTAGGCCCAGTCCCATTTCTTATGTTTAACCCTATCCCTTGTAGGCGAGTGTCACGTTGCCCCTTGGAATTGAGTTACAACAGGTAGTGGTTTAAATGTTCCTCTGAAATGGGACCCTCGAATCAAAAAGAGCATCACTTCATTAACAGCTACCAGCGCTGCTCTGTAGGCGACCCTGCCAGTCTGCAGTGACAGCAGAGGAGGGTAAAGTTCAGCTCCTCACTGCTGGGCTTTAGTTACATTTAGGGCATCATATGATCTTCAAAGAGGGGGGCAGTTATTTATTATCACCCACCCCTAATTCTTCAGTGATACGAAGCTGAAGTTTATGCTTGTTATGAAAAAAAGGACCATAATACACTGAAACGACATTAAACTAAGATAATATGATGGTTATCGTAATTTTTGAACAGAGAAAATTCTCATATTTGTGGGTTCCTTTGGTCACTTGCTTATATATATATATATATATATATGTATATAAACACACTTCGCCTTGAATTAAGAATTATGTTGACATGTTATGTGATGGTCCTGTAGAATACTAAGTAGTGTGTTTGTTCTGAGGGAAATAATGGGAGTATAAACAGTGTAATCAGTGCAGTGGTGAATGAAGCTCCAGCTGATTCTCCTGTGCTCTTTATCACAGTGTACAGAGAGTAATGGTGCAGCAGGAACATGGCCAGTGAGAAAACCCACAGCAGCGTTCCTGCACGCCTCCCAGTTCACACTCCAGGATCAGTAGTGGGAGTTTTATTGATCAGTGTGGGAGGGTGGAGCTCCAGGAGGCAGCTGGGACGGGCTGAGGTGGGCTGTGGCTCCCCCTGCTGGTCAGTCTGCCTGTCAGACTCCATGGTGGATCACTCTGTCTAACAGCACAATCCATGTCGTGATCCATGACTTTTAGAGCAAGACCTCCAGTTCAGGACATTAATGTTAAAACACAGTCATAAATAAATAAATAACAGGACAAGTAATCTGCTGTAGATAACAAATGTTGACACCTCTACGGTGTTTGTGATGTAACGTTGATGTGCACTAAGCTAACAGTGGTGCACATGTTGAATAAAATCAGAGAAACTGCTTGTTTACAAAATATATATATTTTTAGGCTAAATGGACAAACTATTGTTTACAGTCTACTTATCTCTGAATATCACCTCCTAATAAAAACTGATGAGTTTGTTGAAGGATTTCTTCAGGGACTCCCTCTTTCTCAGGACTGAGAGAAACATCCATTTCATAATCTGTCCAGATCCTTATAATAAACTTTATAA